GGGACATTTAAACAATGGATAATCCGTATCCGCAACAAATTTTTGCTTTTCTCCTCAACAGAGAGCGTTCCCCGATTGAATAACAGCGCCGTAAAATAAGAAGAATGGCGCCTAATTACAGACTTAATAATACTGACTTAGTAATGTGTCACGTGAAGATTCAGCAGCCAGATGAAGTGTTTACTGACAATTGACAGTGATAGCGGACATTATCATCACTATTCCAACAATCTTCTCCACACAGACAAGCATAAACACGCTCGACTATCACTAAATCAAATTTAACACACATTTGTAATGACGCTAATTCAGTTTACAACAGGGTTCATTCGCTCGGTCAGCAGGTGGCGGTATCCTCGTACACTGGGGAGTACACTGCCATTAAACGAACAGAAGAAGAAGAAAACCCCTGCACATGCGCGGTACGGATTGGGTAGACCCGATTTGTACGGTCCGACTTTGCACATGCGCAGTAAGGATCGGGGAGTCCTGATCCGTAACTATCTTTTTATTTTTTTGTTTTTGTCTACATTATATTAAATTTTTCATTATCGGAAACATTTTAAGAGGTACTTATTATTCTTAACATCTTAACAGGTACTCTGACCCGTAACTATCGTAAAACGCTTTGACCGGAAGTAGAAACCTTTCGCACATGCGGGGTATCGATCGGGTTTCCGGTACGGATCGGGTAGTGACAGTGACAACACGTACAAATCGGGTCTACCCGATCGATACTGCACATGTGCAGATGTTTTCTTCTTCTGTTTCGTTTAATGGCAGTTTACTCCCCAGTGTACGAGGATACCGCTACCTGCTGACCGAGCGAATGAACCCTGTTGTAAACTGAATTAGCGTCATTACAAATGTGTGTTAAATTTGATTTAGTGATAGTCGAGTGTGTTTATGCTTGTCTGTGTGGAGAGGATTGTTAGAATAGTGATGATGATGTCCGCTATCACTATCAATTGTCAGTAAACACTTAATCTAGCTGATAAATCTTCACGTGACACAACATTGTTATTCTTTTACGGCGTTTTTGTTCAATCGGGGGACGCTCTCTGTTGAGGAGAAAAGCAGGAATTTGTTTGTATACGGATTATCCATTGTTTAAATGTCCCAGGCAGTCGAAAAGGAGGCAGAGCTGTTGAGAAATGCTAGGAGCTAACTGAGCGCTAACCATCATTCAAATATATTGAACGTCGCGATGTTGGCAAAGAGAGGGAGTGACGTAAGATTTGCGCATCCGGTACGGATCAGGTAGCGACAACAGCCTTAGCAACAGTGAAGGAAGATATTTCTCATTTATTTTGGTCATGCTTATACACGAATCTTTTCTGGCAAGAATTTTGTGTTTTTGTTGTTTCCTTTATCTTTTCTGAGTTCTCTCTTTGTTACGAGAAAATATTGTTTGGTTTCTTTAAGTACCCCATGCACAGGGCAAACAAATTTATTGATATTATTGGCTAAATTTCATATACATAAGTTGAAATTTTCTAACGCAAAACCATCCTTTCAGTGCTTTTTAAATGAAACCAAACAATATGTTAAAACCATACAACATTCTCAAAATCTAAAAGCTGTCAAAACCATAAACTTGTTCCCTGTTCAATATCATGTGATTCTTTAATAGACTGTGTCTATTTTGTTTTTTTTATACGAACCCCCTGACATTGTGTTTGCTATTTTGTATTTGTATATCTGTATTTTGTGCTTTGTCAATAAAGCGTATTCAAAAGAAAAAAGAAAAATAAAGAAACAGCCTTAGCAACAGGCTAGTAATCAAGATGGTGGTCGCAAGCACCCCTGTGCTAGCAACTGGCTAGCATTTAGCAGCTAAAAAAACTACACCTAGTTTAAATTAACAGACCCAGAAATAGAGTAAATCTTGGACCAGAAGGCCAGAAAGAAATGATGTTAAAGTATTCTTCTGACCAATATCAGCTTTTTCAACCAATTGTCAATATTTACTTGACTCCAAATCAGCAACTCTTTATCTTTTTTTTTTTGTTCTTAAATGTATTTAAAATTATTAAGCTTTCATATAGCCAGTGACATTCTGTACTGTCATCATACACACACACGGTCAGCTCTGATTTGTATGCTAAGAAGTCAAAATAAAAATGTCAATTTTCTGTGCTGCGCTTGTGTCTGCTGCCGAAATAGTTACTGCAGGTTTAAATTGGGTTAAAAGCATATATATGATTTTTAATATTATCAAGATATTACCTAAAATAATTAAAATACCTTAAAAAGTAAAATCTAAAAGTTAGCTTTTTACTTCAAACCAGATTAGTGACAAGTAGCAGCTCAATTAGGACTAAAACAGGCTCTTCTCCATCAGTTTCATGTCTCTGAATGGGAACCACACACACACACACACACACACACACGAGTTAATGTAGCCTGACATCTGCCTTAACACAGCACTAGACTGGCCACCCCCTGGTCACAGTCATGACATGGATAGCCCCACCTCCCCTCCCTTACAGCGGAGTGACTGGACTGCAGGCTGCAGAGACACGGCTGAGGGAATCCCTGCACAGATCCATATCACACGAGCTGCCAATTCAAATGAGTCTGACACAGCAAAACGCTGCGCTCGTGTAGCCAAAACACATTTTTCCATCGGAGCGATAATAATCAATAAAACATGATTAATGCCCAGGAAAAAAAAAAAGCTTCATTGTGTGAAGCAGCAGCTGTTCTCTCCTAACAGAATGAACCCGCAGCAGGAAGCACAAACACCCCGACAAAGGCTGGGAACAGAAACGTGGGCATGATGCTGAGAACCAGAAAGCGCAAACACGCACAATTTACCTGAGCGGCAATTGTCAGTTATCAGCAAGTGTCGGGCGATGACCCTTCGTCTTCTTCTACTGATGCTGCTGCCTCTTCTTCTTTTGCGCTCAGGTCCGCGGTCCTCCTCAGCCTCCCAGCCAAGTCCCCCTCACTCTCTTTCTCTCACTCTCTCTCCACAATGCATGCTGGGAACGTGAGGGGTGTAGCGTATTCATTACCGCAGTCGGTCCTGTAAGCTCATTGGTCGGATAATTATTTCTTAAAATGAAATGGAAAAATAAATTAAAGAAAATTATATTTTAAAAAAAATTCTCGTGTGTTTAATTCAAATATCCCTTTTAATATTTTTTTTGATTTTTTTTTAAAAATTAATCATGAAATGCTTATTTAATGTAGAAAATATGAACCTGCTGATCCATGTATTCAGTTTGCTGTATTTGTTGATCTCTTGAAGCTTGTTATAACAAAGGATGTCAGCGCATATAGAGAATGTGCAAAGGGACACTTTGACAAAGAGAATCACCATGGTTACGGTGACAGTCTGCAAAAATCTTAAATTGTCTAATATTTCATTGCTAAACTTGTGTGAAATAATGCAACACACACAGAGACACACACACAGACACAAAGTGCAACATTTGCCCCCGAAATGTAATGTAGCGCTATGACACTGCAGATTTTGATATCGATCAGATGCCAAGTAAATTCAGTATTTCTGATACCGATACCAGTACTGATAATTTTACCCTATAAAAGGCATCTTATCTAGGGGAGAGCAGTGTGTATGAATCATAAATTCTGAACACATTTGAATGAACACTAAATCACTTTTACATCTTTTTTACTTTCCACAATAATTTTGAAACTGGGTTTTTCTGAGACCTGCAATCTAAATGCGCCCGTCTTTAAAGGACTTAAAGGACTTATGCTATAAATATAATAGACATGAAAGTCAGCACTAAAAGGTTCAGACTATGTTCAGTGGGCTACAAACTGAACTTGGAAGATAGAAACAAAGTACTGATCTTACTGCGGTGGTATTAATCCAAGAGAGGCACTTATGACAGTAAGTTCACTACACTGAGATTGCCTCCACAGTCACCAGATCTAAATCCAATTGAGCACCATTGAGATGTGGTGGGACAGTAGATTCAAATTACAGATGCCGAGCTGACAAATCTGCTGCAACTGTGAGCTGTCATGTAAACATGGACTAAAATCTCTGAGGAATGATTCCAGCACCTCACTGAATCTGCACACAAAGAATTAAAGCGCTCAACATGCCACAACCAAAGTCTACAGCACAGGTGTCCAACTCCAGGCTTCGAGGGTCGGTGTCCTGCATGTTTAAGATGTGTCCTTGATCCAACACAGCTGATTTAAATGGCTACATTACCTCCTCAACATGTCTTGAAGTTCTCCAGAGGCCTGGCAATGAACTAATCATTTGATTCAGGTGTGTTGACCCAGGGTGAGATCTAAAACCTGCAGGACACCGGCCCTCGAGGCCTGGAGTTGGACACCTCTGGTCTACAGGTATGTACGCTGCCCACAAGTGACCAATAAAACATCTACTAATGCTTCGATGATAGGTAGCCTCCCAACATACCACCACTTACCATCATCACAACAAAATATAAATGAAGAAACCAGTGGGAAGATATTGGTGATGCTGATATCAGCAGTAGTAAATATTTGATGACAGCGAAAAAAAAAAAAGAGGGATTAAAAGCGGACCGCCTGGCTTTCACTGATGTAACAGACAGTAATAACGTCACTGATGATTTTTAATAGCCGCCTGTCTGCAGACACGATGCCCAGTTTGTTTCACTGGGGTCAAAACAGAAAAAGCTGATGCAATAAGAGTAGGTTTCATCAGTTTGTTATGCAGCATGCTTGCCTCATAATGACTCTGCGCTCTCTTCAATGAGCACGCCAGCAGCATCACGGGCACAGAGCTGGATTAAGAAAACTTTTAATGAATTCAGGGGTAAGAGTGTGAATGAATGTACAAATCCCAGGATTGTTTTGGAGCTAATTACACTCTAATTAAAAGCAGTGGTCCATCTCCCAGCCCTCCGGATGCAAACGCAGTCACAAACGTTGCAATGGGATCTAATTAACGCCACTTTTTTATGTTGCACTGCAGTAAAGCTCTCAGCACGAGCTGTTGATGGTTGTTTACAGATGTACACATGAATCAGCTTTTGTATGTACATTTTATGCTGCTTTGTTTCGATTTTAAGCCTGTTTCACTTTTTTTTTATCCATTAGTAGTATCAGTGACAGTTTATGATCCAGCCTGCTCTTGGCCATAAATCCATTGCTGCCCTGGCTCAGTTTTCCATCAGTGAAACAGCTGTTGCAGACAAGAAAAGAGAAGGAGGCTGCATCCCCCAAGTGCAGTGCAAATGCTGTCATCAGCTCACAGCAGGACACATCTGTACAGCAGCTGAACACAAATACAAATTGACATGACGGCGCAGCATCAGGGGGTTCAGATTAGATGTATAATGAAACTGTGGATTGTGGAAAATGACCAAGTGAGTTGTTTAATACAGTTACAATCACATTTTGGGGTTAAGAGACCTCCAGCAGACGTGCAAATGAGTAAAATGTGCATATAGTGGAACCACAGACTGTATATAAATCATGGATGTAGCTGCTGTGACGTCGTTCACTGGTGTTGTTTTAGATATAAAGTCAACCTGGGGGAACTCCAGGCTTCGAGGGCCGGAGTCCTGCAGGTATTAGATGTGTCCTTGATCCAACACAGCTGATTTAAGTGGCTACATTACCTCCTCAACATGTCTTGAAGTTCTCCAGAGGCCTGGTGATGAACTAATCATTTGATTCAGGTGTGTTGACCCAGGGTGAGATCTAAAACCTGCAGGACACCGGCGCTCGAGGCCTGGAATTGGTCACCCCTGCTGTAGAGGAACAACTACTGAACTATGCAAAGACTGAATGCTGATTGGTATAAAAGATGGCTTAAACAGGAAAGGGCGAAGAAGTACACCTGAGAAGCACTGCGTTCATTGTTTTCAATCCTCAGACTCACTTTCTTTAAGTTTTATTTCTTTTCGTGGAAACTGCGAAAAGGCTTTAAAATGATATGCATTTACTGCAATAAATTAATTAACAAGGATGTCTACAGGGGTTTGCTATAGACTGTATATAAAAGATGGCTATAACATTTTTTTTTTAAAGAAATGCCTTGAACCTGCATTCTCTCTAATAGCCAGGAGGGGGTGACATATAGTGACTTCTATTACAAAAAGAATTCCATCTGCAAAGACATCTTTAGTAAATATTTTACACACTTAATGCATTTTGAAAAATTGCAACGAATTTCTGGATTTCACGGATCCAAACTTACTGTGTAACCTATATACACGCCAAACATGTTGCCTTTTTTTGAAAAATTCATCCTCAAAAAATGCACTATGATAAAAAACAGGAAGTTGACAGCGATCATGAGCGGGTCCTCATGTTCAGAGAAATGGAAGAAACAGAAATTCTAGGTTCATCCAATTCTCACAAGGAGGCATGCGTAGAGACAAATTTCATGGTTTGATCCAAGGAAGGTGTAGCTGTAAAGCTGTATCACGACTACTTTTTGCACCAAATTTGTCAAGTGAAATTACGCGGTCAGTATGAACGGCTGCGTTATGAATAGGTGAGTCCCAAAAATATTTTAAACATTTGAAATATTTGCATTTTACACCTCAGGTATGTAAAGGCCTTTACGCTCCAAATGAAAAGCAAAGCAGATTATTTTTTAGAGCTACAATGTAAAATGTGGTTCTCACTCTTTTTCTAAGAAAAGAAATCTATAATTGATGCAGGAGGCCAGGAAGCTGCTGCTGGCCTTGTATCACTCCACAGTGGAGACTCTCCTACTGCCTGGATGTTTGGTACGCAGGGGCCACAATGAGAACAGGAAGGCTGCGCAGAGGGTAATTAACACTGGCCAAAAAATAACTGGCTGCCCTCTGTGACCCCTGGAGGCCATCGCCAGATCCTCCTGTCTGAGGAGAACAAGGGCCATCACAGGTGACCCCCACCCACCACCCGTTTGACTCGCTGCCCACTGGTAGCGTCTCGGGTCAATCAGGTCCCACACCTCCAGACCATCAACCCTCAGGCCACTCACATATGGACTCTATTCTCAGACCAAGTCCTCAGCACGACTTCCAAGCACGTTTCAAGTTGTTCTCTAATGTGTGCCTTTCTCTTAAGCACCATTTGTAGAGGAAACAGTTGTAGATGTGTTGTTTAAATCCGCTGAGCACCAAAATACTAATGCAACACATCTTCTCTACAGCATCCTTATTGGTTTTCTTTAGGAAATGACAACATCACAGAAAGTGAAAAAATAACTGCAGACCTGAGTATTACCACCATCTGAGAATTATACAGAATTGTAGGAAGACCACATTTCCCACTGCTCAGTTGCTTCTTGTGCTTCACCCTAAAGGGCAGAATGACATCATCAGGTACATCATCAGGGGTCTTGTGGGATAAGTAGATACGTTGTCTTTTTTGTTTGTTTGTTTTTTATTAATTATCGCACCTAAATGAAGCCAGAAAAGCTTTGAGGGATCTAAGTCCTATGACCTTAATGCCAGTATTACCTTGCAAACATGATGGGATTCACTACCAATGGCTAGCTATATTAATTTTGCATGAGAGCATGATAATCATTTCCTAATTAGCACTGACCACCAAGTAGAGCTGAGCTGAGGGGGAATTGTCATTATTTTTTAGATATTTGTTAATAAATCAAAGAGTTCTTTTAAAAAAAATCTATAAAAAGATGCTTTCTAAAATCTCAAACATAAATTACTTAGACGACTTTTGAACCCCTTACATTACTTACTTACATTACACTGTTGCACCACAAAGATGTCTGAAGTCTTGCTTCATAAAGCATCTTTAACAACATAGAAATACACTATGTAACTTTAAATATATCTGTATATCGACACCATTACCAGTCAGCTGATCCACAGGTGCCTTATTCATCTACTGAGGCTGCTCATGCATGGATCTGCTGCCTGCACCTTCAATTTAAGTTTAAGCAGCTATTTCAGATACTCCACAAAAACTTCTGCCATCAGCCAGAAATAAAGATCTGACTCGCTTTCATAGCCCCCCCCCACCCCTGCAGTTTTTGCCATAGCATTCTTCCATCAGCTGGAGCTAAACCACTGTGACTCAGCAGAAACATAAACATCTCACACGCCGGGAGGGCTGCGTGCAAACAAAGCAGAAAGGAGTCATATTTAATTCATAAGCCAGTGCATTGCAGGAAAGACCAGATTGTCTGATACGCCGAAGCCTGGAGGTCCAGGAAATGACAGCCAGGGCCAGGACTGCAGCCGCCACGAAGCACACGTCAGACAGGAAGGGGCCCCACTCAAGCTGGTTAATGTCAGTGGATATTTACTGTCGCTGGGTGGGCTTTCTGCATCCTGCAGGACACAGCTGCATTTCCCATAGGACAGCTCTATCTTAATGGGCAGCAGAGGCATAATGAAGCACGGGTGGTGGATAAATGGATGCAGCAGAAGTGGCAGCCAAATTTATTTTCGCCCTGGGAATTGGGTCTTTGTAATCTAATGTGGAGGCTGAGCTCTTTGTCTTTTTCTTTGTCCCCCACCTGTGGTGGTTGATGGGGGACTTGATATCATTAATGCAAACAGGCTGAAATAATGTAGATTTATTTGGAAATGAAACAGGACCACATGCATTAAAAATAAATATATATGGAAACACAATGCATTTGGTTTGATAACGCCTTGGTGGCTTTATCAGTTTGTTTGTGTACCTGCCTCCCTATTTTAACCCCGCCTCCTCAACTTATGCTAAAAGGGGCGGGCTAAAGGAAAAAAGAAGTGGGCAGAAAATCTAAAATATGAAGACAAAGCATAGACTGTATATGTAAGATGGACAGCATAATGCCATTTGTCAGCATTATGCTTTGCAACTTGGAAGCACAGAGAGGAAAGTTTTAAATGTCACCATGATGTGGATGTGTCAGCTGTGAGATGGATATGACATGTAATAGAATCAGTCTTCCTAATGGCCACCAGAGGGCGACACTTAAACTTGAAAACAATCATTCTGCTGTTTAGAAGTTTAAAGAGGAAACTGCACTTAAATGCCTTGCTCTCTCAGCTCAGTAAACCCCTTTCCTGATGCTTTTTTGGGGGGTTTCTGTCGACAATTGTCTGCCCAACGGCTCATTAGCAAGTGAGCATATTTATCTCTGCATTTCAAAATCACATCTGCCTTGTTGTGAATTCCACTTCCACAAAGCTAATTCCCAGGAGTGAGGCCTAATCAGAATCAGTGTGACACTGTTTTCGATCTTTAACCAAGGCCGATTACTTTTTTTCTTTTTCTTTCATTAAGATCACAGAAGACCTGGATTTAACAGCTTTGTGCAAAAAGTCTGTTTCCACCATTCGTTGCTACAGTGGAAACATCCAAACATGCCCATATTCACACTGCAGTTTATAGGAAACATAACAGAAGGCAGTTGCTAGTGCATGTACGCTGATAGGAGGGGGGTGCTACAGCAGGGTTACTTTACAGGCCTAATGTTTTGTGTCAGATGAAGCACCGGCAGCCATATTGATCATTTTTCATGCCCTGCCTCATTTCACTAAGAGCCCCAAAATGACTGCTGGTGGCATCTTTTATGTCAGTTATGAGACACGCAGAAAAAAAAAGACAGAACGAACTGCAGCTCTGACAGCAACAAACAAACAAACACACACTAATGTGCTGCAACATGCTTTACTTTAATAATTGTGAAAACAGTGATTATTCATGTTGAGCAGGTGAAATGATCAATAATCACACCCTAAACAAATCACCCACCATGCACATTACAAGCCTTTCATTTACATTTTATCAATAAAATAATCAATATAGCCTGTTTTTTTTTTCTAGTGGTTGGTAAAAGATTAAGTCACATTTTTTTTCATTTTAATCATAAATTATTTTCAAATCACTTGAAAGATTAAAGAGAAATCCCAAGGAGCATTAACCAATCACGGTTAAGCAGGCTTTGAGCAGGACCCTACAGAGATATCGCCAAAACGCAATATCCAAACAATCGTTAATCTTCTTACGGGAAGATTTATTAAAAAAAAAAAAAAAAAAAAAAAAGGCAAAGACAACTGGAACGAGCAGGCCACGCTTGGATATCGCCCCAAAACACTCACCATCACTCGGAAACAGTGAGGTTGCAGTGGCTGGGGTTGATTCTCAACCAGTTTTATTTTTTTAATGTTCACTGAAAGACGCAAATCCAGGAAGTGAACAACATTTATGGGGGGCGTTTGTTTATGATAGGACAGTAAAGGAGGGAGAAGGCGTGCAAATGGTGTGGGGTCAGATTTGAGCCCGGCCCTCTGCAACAGCCTTATGTTATATGGATCACCTGCTCTGTGAGCACTGAGATATACTGGCATCCAGTCACTAGAGCAATATTTAAAGTGACTCAAGGTAGCTTTGTACTCCTGAGTTTGTCACTCGTAGTTGTAAACAACATTAAACATTTTCTTTCAGGTTTTTCCAAACACGGAGCAGTGACTATCACACGCCGCCGCTGTTTGTTTCTGTGTTCCCAGAAGTTGGGCCCAGCTTCCTGCTGACATCACAAAGGTCGTCTAAAGCAGCAAAGCTATCATCAGGCACCAACGCGCAGTCCGTCATGTGTCTTGACTAAGTTGTTACGAGAATTCGTGACACTAATGGCCTAATCTGACACAGTGTTTTTCATCATTACGTGATACAGTACGATGCGTTCGTATGGCAACCACTAAATGTGGATGACGTATAAAACTTCCTGAGATAATCACGAGGAAAGCACTCAGGTGTTTCTTCTGATACGGCTCGCACGCCGCTGCCGTTTATTTTTTATTTTCTGTAAAAAAGTTAGTGTAGTTTCTTTAAACAACACCTCAACAATTGTGATTGTGCCAAAATGCCACATGTTTACGTGCATCTTCAATTTGCACATAAAAACAAAGTGCGTGGAAATGCTGGCAATTTGTAGAAAATCATTTTACATTTGTTCGAGGTGGAAAAATTCAAGCATCAAAACAACAACAAAAAGAAATTATGAAGTGTAACGGGAAAATGTAACATTTCTGAAGCTTTCTTCTGCACTGCCTCTCGCTTACCTATTCAGCAAACCAAAGTCTCATCATTCAAAGTCATGTGAAGCTGCTTTAATAGCAGCTGACTGAGAAGTGAGTTAATCCTAAACTGGTTATCTGTTCATTATAAACAGCAGCTAATTAATTACATATTCTAATCTTCTGGAATGCATTAATATCTGTGGCTTCATTTGTTTTCTTCTCAGTTGCTCCAATTAACACTTTTAGAGCTCAAGATCCACCATTGCTGTCTGTTTTTATGCTATTATTAATTATTATTATTATTATTATTATTATTATTATTGCAAAACACCACCAACCCCCTTTACACCACTGATGTTAAGCAATGACACAAGAATCGGATGTTTTCTTTGGGGGTGCTGAGGGAGATGGAGGGACGTGTGTGGGCTGGTTAACTGTTCTGATGTTTGTGTACGAGGTACTGTATTGGTACCCAGAAGACGCAGAGCTAGATGGGTACCCAGAAGACGCAGAGCTAGATGGGTACCCAGAAGACGCAGAGCTAGATGGGTACCCAGAAGACGCAGAGCTAGATGAGTACCCAGAAGACGCAGAGCTAGATGGGTGGGGCGAAGAGGTTGTGTTAGGTGAGTAAAAAGAAGCGGAGGTACTGGCTTTATATCCAGAGGAGATCGTGCTAGGTTGGTAAGCCGATATGGTAGCTGGCTTTGGTGCTGCCACTGGCTTTGGTGCTGCCACTGGCTTTGGTGCTGCCACTGGCTTTGGTGCTGGTGCTGATGCTGATGCACCACCACTGTACATCAATGTACTAACTAGTGGGTGTGTGGTCTTGTACTTTATCAGGTACTCGGGGTAGATCTGGTGCTTCTCAAACACCACATATATGGCGGGGTCCATTACATCGTCAACACAGCTGTCATAGAAGTTTATGTCCCCTCCGTCCTTCGAAGGAGGTCGGGGATAATCGGAGGACCCTTTGGTGAAGTCTCCCACCAGCACCCGTGAGATGAACATGTCTCTGACGTCAGTGTCACCGGTGTAGTTGTGGGAGTATCTGGCATCACGGGCAAAGTAACTACCTGTGTTTAGACACCAAAAGAGACCATTGTGATTATCGGGCAAAAAAATAAGCATCGTTCCTCACAACCACAGATGACAAAAATGTCTGTTTGGTGAGTTTGGAGCTTCTGTTTTTTTTTTAAATGTATGGTTTATGAAAACATGCTTTTTATCAATAACTGTTTCAGCTTGAACATTTCTTCCAATCACCTTTGCCATAAGCCGTTCCATTAAGTCCACAGATTCTCCAGTCAAAGTTGTGGTGGCAGATTGTGTCAACAAATTTGGAGTGAGTGCCATGAAAAAGCTTTTTCTCAGTCACACTTCCCCCTTTGTTTTTGGTCTTCATCTGATTCTTTTGCCTTGAAATAGAAGACATACAAATATCTTACGTCAGTCTGGTTTGTCTGTATGTCGTGAAAGTGTGCACGCTGACCCTGGACTGCGTACACAAACAGTAACACAGCCTCTGGCTCTGAGGAGTGACACCAGTGCAGGAATTTAAATCTGTATTCTTTCAAATCACCAGCAGGGGGCAGAAAATGGATAAAAGAAGTCAGAGTTTACTGAAGTCTGTGGACCGCAGAAGACAATACGTACCATTGAAAGACTTCCCAAAGAGCTTTGTTCTGAATCCTCTCAATTTTGACAATATCAAAGCCTTTCATGGTTTTACAGAAATGAGTTTCCACCGTCTTAAATTCGTCTGAAGTGCGCTGGACGGAGATTCGCTGTAAGAAAACAAAAAAATATTGCAATCTTTCAACACGAGCATTTCCCTTCACCATTTAGTTAGTATGAATTCTTTAGCTTTATGTCTGAGTACAAATATAAATTCTATAATGTTATTTTTAAACAAGGCCAGCAACAGTGTTAAAAAAGGCATTTTAGTCCTAAGAACAACAACCTGATGGCAGAGTCGGACTGCACGGAGAAACACAGAAATGGAAACTCTGAATTTAACGATAGGAAATATATTTCTAAGCTTAGCTTTTTTTGTCTTTTTGTTTTTTACTTTTTTCCCCAAATATGTTCTTAGAAAAAAATTTGGGAAAATCTTTTGCTTACTGTAGAAATTCCACTTGAAGTGTCATCTGCACAGGAAGCAATGTGGGAACCAGTGACTGAATAAAGTAAATGGTTTTTATCTTAAATCAACAATACAATACAAGACCCGGTGAATACAGCCGGGTCCCAAGTTAAACTCTACAAATCTCTGAGACAGCCAATGAGAACGTAAATGACAAGGAAGGATAATGTTTACTGATATATGACAGGGTGGTAAATACATTAGAGGGTGACCAGTTTCAGAATACATAGAGAGCTCAGTATTCAGGAACTGTACCGAGGAAAGTTCTTAGACAGTGAAAGCCCACACAGAGAGGACTACAGTAATTAATGGTAAATGGCCTGTATTTGTATAGTGCTTTACTTAGTCCCTATGGACCCCAAAGCGCTTCACACACACATTCACACACTGACAAGCTACATTGTAGCCACAGCCACCCTGGGGCGCACTGACAGAGGCGAGGCTGCCGGACACTGGCGCCACCGGGCCCTCTGACCACCACCAGTAGGCAACGGGTGAAGTGTCTCGCCCAAAGACACAACGACCGAGACTGTCGGAGCCGGGGCTCGAACCGGCAACCTTCGAACCGACGAACTACCAACTCTTGAGCCACGATCGCCCAATAAAGTCTGTGAGAATGTAAACTCCCAGGGTTTAATGGATAACTGGAACTTCCAGTATTCAGGCTAGTCTGTTTTTATTTTATGTCGTTCGGTTGTCTTATTTAATCCTTTTTCTCTCTTTTTTTGTTATTTTGTATTGTTTAATATAGTGTTGTATTTTTAAAAAACTGATTGCTTTCACCTTTTGCTAGAAAATTACAAAATTACACTGCATAACATTGAGTTGTACATCTACATTACTATGTTTGGAATATGTTAACACACACACACACACACACACACACACACACACACACACGTCTAAACCTGAGTGTGAGCTCAAACAGCAGAGACATAAAAGTAATATTTTATGGTTTCATAATACCGAATATCCTGCTTCGGGGATCTGTGTCTTGTCCCAGTTGTCTGGTATTGGAGCAGATGCTTTAACCACGGGCCGTCTGCAGAGACAGAGGGTTAGGATGACTTTAAATACACAAGGTTTGGGTGTAATACGTCTGAAAACATAAGTAACACAAATGCCATTAAATGTTTTGTTGGGTGGCTCAATCGTGGCTCAAGAGTTGGGAGTTCGCCTTGTAATCGGAAGGTTGCCGGTTCGAGCCCCGGCTTGGACAGTCTCGGTCGTTGTGTCCTTGGGCAAGACACTTCACCTGTTGCCTACTGGTGGTGGTCAGAGGGCCCGGTGGCGCCAGTGTCCGGCAGCCTCCCCTCTGTCAGTGCGCCCCAGGGTGGCTGTGGCTACAATGTAGCTTGTCAGTGTGTGAATGTGTGTGTGAATGGGTGGATGACAGGTTGTATAAAGCACTTTGGGGTCCTTAGGGACTAGAAAAGCGCTATACAAATACAGGCCAAATGTTTCTTCGATATACAGACACCTTCACTTTTTACATACGTTTTAAGATTTCATTTTAAATCAACAAAACATTTTTCCCATCACATGCCATAATGGCAAGAGCTCATGTTTGTCATTTTTAGGAGGGTTTTTGTTTGTTTTTCAATTTGTTTTTATAATTGCTAAATAAAAAAAAGAACAAATAGGACCCACTGCTGAGATGATCTGGATACGGTTAAGAAAGACGCACACCTGAGCCTGTAATAACCCCCACAGTTCATACTAATATTAGAAAACAAACAAACAAACAAACAAACAAACAAACAAACCAACTATGAAATCTTAGGAGCTCTTTCTTAACATCCAGGGCGACAGGCCTCACCAGGTCTAGATCAGGGAACGGGTCTAGAATCATATCTCTGTGTCACTGTTTTATCAATTATGTCTTTATGGTAGAAAGAAGCTTGAAAGAAGCCACTTTGAGTAAAGAGCACCAGATAGCTCCCTCGGCACACAGCTCTCACAACACGACGTGATGTCACGGTGTTGGTAGCATCATGCTCTGTGCTGCTTCAGGCAGCAGAGACGGGCAGGGCTGAGTTAGATCAAAATAAAGGTTCACATTTCTGCACAGCAATGAGCTGCATCATAGGCGTTGCTGCTGGGTACAGAAAGTCTGTCCTTCAGTGGTCCAGACAAAGTCCAGAGTTAAACTCCAATACAGTATAATGTGCATCAACAGACCTGAAACAACCAAGTCTGACAGGACCTGCCATGAAGACCAGAATAAACCAAACAAATCCAAGAGTGTAGAAGCCAGACTCACAGCTGCACTACTACAAAATCGGTTTGGGACTTTTTTAATGAAATTTGTGGAAATTTAAAAAAACAAAACAACAACTTACGTTTAGCAAGCTCTGACTGGAGCATTTTTAATGTCTAGTGCTTGCCTGTTTTTTGACATTCTTGCTACTGAATGGACAAACATGGTGAATTTGCTTCACTCTAATCTTAAGGCCCTGGCAACACTAGTATGTTGGCACGTATGGTAAACCAAACCCAAACAAGCACCGTCCTCATGCGGCCTTCCCTCAGCTGGAAGCTCGAAGGCCAAAGCTGGAACATCAAATGCTCCCGAATTCTTCCTCAAGGTCGCCTGCAGCGACTTGGGGATTGTTGACTTTTGCTTAAAACTAGGTGAAAGTGCACTCTCTCTCTCTTTGGATACAGGAAACACACACACACACACACACACACACACACACACACACACACACACACACACACACACAC